TTGTCGTTACCTGCATTTTCACCATGTGTTAGAGAAATTGAACTGCGTGTAATGTTAGAAATCCTGCCTAGGCTACAAGTTGGTACTGTTGGGACCCACATAGGTCGTGTTACATATTGAATTATTTGCTAAATTTGTCATTTTGTACTCAGTCACAACTATTATTTGCATATTATATTTCAGTCTCTGTTGTCCTTTATTGATAAATTATATCACCATTCTCTGGGATGATTATCATATTTGTTGAGAGCCCGAGAGACTAGAAATACTGATGACTGAGTGAGACCAAGGGCCTGATTGTGAGGATATTTATGGGATCGGGCTGCATAATGCAACATGTTATTTGATTCATGCCACTATTTTCTTAGTATAGCGCTTGGGCTGGAATTTTTCCTCTAGAGTCTGCATATCCACAGTGAGCACAGGTACCTACAGAGTGCGAGTGCCGAGCTACTGAGAGGATTGAGTGGTTGTGAGGAGAGAGTGACTATGAGGAATGAGTGACTGTGAGGATGGAGTGAATGTAAGGACTGAGTGACTGATATTTTGAGAGTATACATATGATTTCATTACTATTTTGTACTTCAGTTGGCATATATAATTGTCATGTACATACCAAGATGTACTATATCTTGTTCCAACTGAACTTGACCTGATTTATTTGTTAGGGCTTTAACTGTTAAACTTTAAAGCGTGCCTACATTTCTGTACTGAAATTTCTATAATTGTGTACTTGTAAAGCTCGTCACTATTTTCATCCTAATAGTTAGGCTTGTTACTTACTGAGTTGGTTGTACTCATGCTACACCCTGCACTTTGTGTGCAGATCAAGGTGTTTCTAGATATGGTGGTTGCTAATTCTCAGAGTTCATTTCATTCGAAAATATTCTAGGTAGTTGCCCCGATGTTCGCAGACCTTGACTTTCCTCCCCTATCCCTCAGTCTTATTTATTTAGTTTTAATTTTTCCTAGACAGTATTTCAGACTTGTAATGTATAGATGCTCATGTACTCAGTGATACCCTAGTTTTGTGAAACTTTTGTATTGAGTTATACCATTTTATCCAGTTTTATGACAGTTTTACTTACTTAAAATGGTTTGAGTGTATTTTTAATTTGAAAGTGTTGGTAATGTATGAGTTGTCGGCATGCCTAGTACCATGATAGGTGTCATCATGACAAGTTGAGTTTTGGGTCATGACATCTACTTCTCTTAGCTATTTATTTGATTCAGACGGTTAGGTTTATTTTAGACCATTATTTGTAGTGTCTTAGACACTCATGTATATGTGACACTAGTTCTGGGATTTGTATTTGAATTTCGTCACTTTTAGTTTATTTACCTTGTTACAGACTATTCAGTTTCTTTATTGTCGTCGTATTTGAAATTTGTTAAAATGGTTAATAACTACATTTGACGTTGGCTTGCCTTTCAAGTAAAATGTTAGGCGCCATCACGATCCCGATAGTGGGAATTCCGGGTCATGACAAGGCATGAAAAACTTTATGGACAAAAATCTAGCCATTCATGACATTGATGATTTTAGTGTTGCACTTGATGAATTTAACTCGTCACTAACAGTTTATGGATCCATTTTTATTTATAATAATACTGAAGAAAGAGCTCAACGAAAAATTCTTCAGCCGCCAATTTCTCCTCCATGCCAAAGAACACTTTCATTTGAGAATTCGCAATTTTATTCATACCCAGCTCAAGTTATGAACTTCAAATCTTGTAATAATATGTATAATTCAGAGAAAAATGAAGTTCATAGAGCAAGTCGATTATTGGACAGTAAGAGAACACCATTGCAAGTTCAAGATCATATTATAGTAGAAAGAAAATGTCGAGAAAAGCTGAGTCAAATTTTTGTTGCCTTGTCTAAGGGTTTGCCTAGTATATATAAAGAAGGTAGTTATAAAACTTAATTACATTTTAAGTTACATGTTATCATCTTTTCTTCCTTATTGAACCCAAAATCAAAACTATTGCTTTTTCACGGAAAAGAGACTATAGAGAGGTTGGAAAAAACTCTCTTCTCTCTCCAAAATAACCCTAAACTTGATGCCTAAACCTAGCTTCGATGGCCTTGCCGGCCATTGGCCAGCCTCCAATGGAGGATGGTCAGTCGTCTCCCTCACCACCACAACCTCCACAGCCCCAAACAATCCCTAACAACCCTAATCCAATCAAAACATACGTACATCTTCTAAAACCTAATGTCATTAATGCTCTCATGCAAACCCTAACCACACTACCATTGAAACCAGTCGAATTACTTTGTGGGGAACTAGTTGTGAAGTGGAAGAAACAAGAGGTGAAGCAATCAATCGTACAACAAGGTCATAACTAGCGGTTCTTGGTAAATTTTCATATGGGAAACCTATCACCGGTGAATTACGTAAAGTGATTCCCATTCAATGTTAGATTAAAGGACCTTGTTCTATTAGTTTGATTGAGGACAATCATGTGTTGATCAGACTTTCATTATTGGGAGATTATGTTCATCTTCTCTCAAAGCTAGCTTTTTACTTAAAGGCTCAGTCATATATGTGGAAAATGCGATGCACAAAGTGGAACCCATGGTGGACACCTGATGAGGAGACTCTCGTTGTCATAGCTTGTATTAGCTTCCCAGAATTGCCTCCTAATTTTTTTGTCATGGAGTGTGTATTCTCATTAGCTCGTGCAGTTGGTAATCCATTGCATGTGGACCTTGCTACTCAAAATGGAACTAGACCTAGTTGTGCAAAGTTGAAGGTGGAAGTTAACTTGTTAGCTAAGTTTCCAAAATGTATTAACATTGTTGAAGAAGCTGATGAATCTGGGCCAGAAGTATTGCAAGACTTGTAAGAAACATGGACATGATGAGTTTGAATGTTGGGTAATAGACCCTGAATTACATAAGAAATTTGAAGAAGGTGTTGATGATCAAGGTAAAAAGAGGGCAGTGGTGGTGAGTAGTGATGCAACCAGGATTGCTGCGAACATCTCTAAGGTGTTGTCCAGTGGAAAAGTTGTTGGGAAACCTATTTCCAACCAAACCAAACAAGAATAGATGCAAAGAAGGAAGAATAGGTATCAAAGGGATAAGAATGGGTACATTATTGAAGAAACTAATGACAAGAATGATGACAAGTTGAAAGGGAAGGCCAAGGAAGATGTAGTTACAACCAAAAATTCATTTGAGATACCGAAAAATCAAGAATCAGACAAAACAATCTTAAGGATCACTGATGGCATGGATGATGAAAATAGAAAGAATAAAAGACAAGAACAAGGCAAGGAACAATCCAAAAAAGGGCAGGAGAAGGAGAACTTGAAGAAAGCTGGAATTTCTAGCCCTAATACTAAAAGAAGTGGGACTAGGGTTGCTGGGAAGGAAGGTATCACAAGTACTAAAGGGGAAGGGATTCAATAGCTCTAAGAGTTGAAGTGTGTGAAGTAAGAGGTTGTTGAGAATGTTCTTGAAAAGGAAGGGGCCGGGAATCCTACTCCTATTGGGATTTAATTTCCAGCTACAAAAGGAGATCAAGAATTAGCTGAGGCTAATGCTACTAATCCTGTTGAGGAAAGGATTGACGAGAATGCTAGAAAAGAATTTACAATTGAGTGGGTGCATAGAACGTTTGGTACAAGTAAGGAGGAGTTGAGGACACTCAATGGAACAACAAATCATTCATGCCATGACAGTCCCTATCAAACATATGATGATGTTAGGCAACCAGAGGAAAATAATGAAGTTAATTCCGGAAAGACATTATGGAGTGATGAAGTTGAAGGTATGGAAGCTCAGCTGGACATAAAAACAACAGTACTACACAAAGAAAAAGAGGAAAACAATCATCCATAAGAAGCAGGCAATGTTATGGCAGCTACAGTAAACCCTAACCCTAACTACTTAGAAATTAAGGTTGGGGATAAATCGAGTTCTAAGGTGAAGCAATCATGTCTATCAATTGGAGATGATAGAGGGGCATCTAAGGAAAATGGAAAACTAGCTAGTTCAGCTTAATCATCTGTGACCAAGAAAAGAGGCAGTGGAACAGTAAACCCTAGCAAATCTAGGGAGAGTTTGGCTCTTGTAGATGGTGTTTTAGGATATGCTTTGAAGAAAGGACTCGATGTATGAAAGTTAGGCATGATACAGTGGGGTCAGACCAAAAAACAGGCAATGGGAAGGGCAGTGATCCTATGGAACAGTGCTTCCTAGGCAGACTGCTATAGTACTTCCTGGGCTGGGCAATGTTTATGAATTTCAATTCAAAATGATGCAGAATGTTGTGTCCTTCATGGAGCAGAGTAAGGTGAACGAAGAGCTGAATGAACACACTAAGGAACAATTGGAGTAAGCAATTATACCAAGTTCAGCTGGGGAAGTAGAAGTAGTTCTAATGGCTTGTGAATCTGTCCCTGAACAGATAATGGAACTGCAACTTATGTTCCACTGAGGACCACTTTGCAGCACTTACATGATCTAGTGACACACAATGTAGCACCAATAGAATAAGACAAAATCATATGGACAAAGAAGTAGATAATGAATCAATTGCAGAAAATTTCAAATAAGTGGAAAGGGAAGCTGACTTATCACCTGCAACTAGTGCAAAGACAGTAAAAAAGACTAAGAAGAATCAGAATAAAGAGCCACTACCACCTTCAAGAATAATGCCCAAAAGGGCAGCATCTCAATCTAAATAATGATGATCAAGACTCTTATTTGGAACATAAGGTCTGTAAAAACACAACAGGCCTTCCCTAGAGTGATCATCATGCATAGGGAGCACAATTTCATTGTAATTGAATTGATGGAACCTTTTAAAAAGAAAAGATCCATTAATAGATATAGAAGGAGGTTGAACATGGAGACTGCCTACTCAAATATTAATGGACAAATATGGTTGTTCTTTAATACAGTGGTGGAATGGGAACTAGTGGAGGATATAGAGCAACAAGTGACTCTGAAAGTATTTCATCGTGAATTGGGGTAGCACATGATAATGACATTTGTTTATGCAAAATGCTCAGCAGTAGAGAGGCTGGAATTATGGGATCATTTGTATTGTTTAGCAAGGGATATGGAGTTGCCATGGTTGGTAGGATGGGATTTTAATGTATTGCTACATGAAGATGAGAAGATAGGGGGACTCCTAGGACATCCTTCTGAGTATGAGGACTTTGCCTTTTGTATCAATTCATGTGGCTTATTTGATCAAGGGTACAAAGAGAGACCATTTACATGGTGTAATGCGAGACCTAATGCACAATGTATATTCAAGAGGTTGGACAGGATCCTGGTGAACCTTCCATTTCAAAACATGTTGCCAACCATTAACGTGGATCATCTTATTAGGATTGGATCAGATCATGCACCTTTACTCATGACATGTGGGGAGCAGATTACCAATGTTGTAAAGCCATTCAGATTTTTGAATTTTTGACAAAGCATGATACATTCATGGATGAGGTGAGGCAGAATTGGGAAGCAAATTTCATTGGAGATCTATTTTTGATGTTCAAGCAGAAGCTCAAGAAGGTGAAGGCAGCTCTTTCAAAATGGAGTAGAATAATATTTGGTGACATCTTCAAGCAATTGGCTATGATGGAATACATTGTCAGGGTGAAGGAGATGTTGTTTGACGATGAGCCTACAATTGAGAATATTAATATCCTTCTATTTGAACAGATGTTGTAGACTCTGGTGGTCGGCATAGACCTCACAAGAGACACCATACAAATAGTGCTGCCAAATCTTTAAGGCATGAACAATAACAACTAACTCAATGTCGTGGACATGATAGTTCTTCTCATGCACCTTCAGTTGTCTAGAAGCATAGGCAATCACCCGACAATCTTGCATCAACACAATACCTAGACCAATATTCGATGCATCACAGTACATAATATAAGACCCCGAACCTGTAGGAAACACCAACACTGGGGCTGTAGTCAAAGCTGTCTTGAACTTTTGAAAGTTCTCCTCACACTCCTCGGTCCACCTGAACGGAGCACACTTATGGGTCAATCTGGTCATAGGTGCAGCAATAGATGAGAAATTCTCTACGAATCGGCAGTAATACCCTTCCAAACTAAGAAAACTCCGGATTTCATTAGCTAAAACAGTCTGGGCCAACTCTGCACTGCTTCAATCTTCTTTAAATCTACGTTAATCCCCTTACTCGACACTATATGACCTAAAAATGCCACCGAATCAAGCAAGAATTCACACTTTGAAAATTTTGCATACAACTTCTTTTCTCTCAAGGTCTGGAGCATGGTCTTCAGGTGCTGCAGATGATCCTCCTGGCTTCGAGAGTACACCAAGATGTCGTCAATAAAAATAATGACGACTGAGTTAAGATAGGGCTATACACTATTTATCAAGTGCATGTATGATGTTGGGGCGTTGGTCAGCCTAAATGAAATCACAAGGAACTTGTAATGACTATATCGAGTCCTGAAGGCAGTTTTCAGAATATCTAGCTCCCAAATCTTCAACCGACAATAGCCTGACCGTAAATCAATCTTTAAGAACACTCTGGTCCCCTGTAGCTGATCAAATAGGTTATCAATGCGTGGAAATGGATATCTCTTCTTCATTGTAACCTTGTTAAACTGGCGATAATCAATACATATGCGCATAGAACCATCATTCTCCTTTACAAACAAGAGTAGAGCACCCCAAGGTGATACACTGGCCAGATGAAATCCTTATCAACAACTCATGCAATTGCTCATTTAACTCCTTTAGCTCCATTAGGGCCATATGATATGGTGGAATGGAAATGGGCCGAGTGTCCGGTAATAAATCAATACCAAAATTGATATCCCTATCGAGTGGCATGCCAAGAAGGTTTGCCAAAAATACATCTGGATAATCCTACACTGCTGGAACTAACCAATGGTAGGAATATCAACACTGACATCTCTCATGAAGGATAGATACACATCACATCCCTTTCCAACCATCTGATATGCCTTAAGGAAAGACACCACCCCGCTAGGAACATAATCCAAAGTACCTCTCTACTCCAACCGCAGAAAACCTGGCATAGCCAACGTCACCATCTTGGTGTGACAATCAAGAATAGCATGATAAGGCAACACCAAGTCCATGCCGAAAATAACATCAAAATCTACCATATTGAGCAACAATAGGTTAGCTCTGGTATCAAAATCACCAAAAACAACTAAACACGACCGATACACATGGTCAACAACAATGGAATCTCCCACAGGTGTGGACATATAGACAGGAAAACTCAAAAAATCACGGGATATACCCAAATATGGACCAAAGTAAGGTGATACATAGGAATAAGTGGAGCCTGGATCAAATAAGACTGATGCATCTTTATGAAAAATCAGAACAATACCTATGGCACCTGAGTCGGATACAACCGCCTCCGTCATAGTAGGAAGAGCGTAACATCTAGCCTGGCCTCCCCTATAGGGCGACCTCTACCTACCCGTCCTCCACCTCTAGCTGTTTGTGCAGGTGGAGTGGCAATTGGTGTGGTAACCACGGCCTGAGAAGCCTGAAGGCCCTGTGGAATATGTGGGGCCTAAGTAGTCTATGGAGGTGCACTCCTCCTGAATCTAGGGAAGTCCCTCACCATATGACGAGTGTCACCACACACAAAACAAGCTCTCGGAGGATATGGCTACTGGAATTGGCTCGGGCCTGATTGGCTAGACGGACCGCTGAAAGCAACTTGTACAGGAGGTGCATTCGACAGTGGCGGTGCATAATAGGAAACAAGAGGCCTCGAAGTAGCCAGAATACCACAGAAAGTTGGAAGTGTTGAATGAACAGGATGGCTCACATAGCCTCTTCCATGACGTGCTGCAACTGGCGTAGGCACCACTATATGTGCTAGAATCTCGAGGCCTCTTGGCCTCCCTCTCCTCTCTCTCCCGGGCCCATATACCCTCCAATATCCTAGCAATCTCCACTACCAGCTGGTATGGGATGTCCATCTCCAACTCTCGAGCCATGCTAAATCTGATACCAGGGTTGAGCCCTTTGATAAATCGACGGACTCGCTCTCTAACAGTGGAGACTAAAGCAAGTGCATGTCTAGACAAAAGACTAAACCGGACTGCATACTCCAATATGGTTATACCACCCTGCCACAACTGCTCAACCTCTGCGCCATACATCCTTAAGACTCTAGGGAACAAACTCCCTCATGAACATCTCTGAGACTTGAGCCCAGGTGAGTGAAGCTACCTCGGCCAGGCTACCCAACTCATATGCTCTCCACTACTGATAAGTCGCTCCCTTAAGCTGGAACATAGTGAAAATAACCCCACTCGACTCCACAATACCCATAGTACGGAGAATATGGTGGAACTCCTCAAGAAAACCATGTGCATCCTCTGAAGCCAAACCGCTAAAAGTAGGAGGGTGGTACTTTTTGTACCTCTCAGGCCTGAGCTGCTCCCCCTCAGAAGCTGATGCCCTAACCTCGGGCTGAACTAGGATAACCGGCTGTACTAGTATGACTTGTAGGACCTGGTCAATCTGAACTTGCTTCACTAGGGTACAGGCGGTGAGAGTTTGTGCTCCTTCCCTGATCTGAGATGTGGAAGGATCAATTGGGATCAACCGTGCCTAATCTAGAGTGCCAAATATGCTAAAAAACTAGGCAAAAGTTTCCTGAAGTGGAAGGGTAGTAACAGGCGTCTTAGGTACCTGCTCTTCAACTGATGTCTCCTCTGTAGCATCTTAGGCAGGTGCTCTGGCTGCACCATGTGCCCATCCTCAGCCTCTACCCCGGCCCAGGCCTCTTGCAGCTCTAGCAGAGGGCGCAAGTGTCTCTTCGTCAAATCTAGTTGTGTGTGTCCTCACAATCTATGATTTCTAACATGATTTGTTGTTATAGTACATCAGGATATCATCAATGAATACTATGAAAAATGAGTCGAGATAAACATGAAATATATTGTTCATCAGATGCATGAATGTTGCTGGGTCATTGGTCAGCCAAAAAGACATCACAAGGTATTCATACTGACCTTAACGAGTCCTGAATGTTGTCCTTAGAATATCCGAGTCCCAAATCTTTAACTGGTGATACCCAGACCTCAAGTCAATCTTAGAGAATACCCTCATTCCCTGAAGCTAGTTGTATGCGGCGAAATCAGAGGACTTGATTTCTCTCTATCAAGCCACTTCGGAAGAATGCCTCGAGACCCCAAGGAAGTGAAGCCACGACCGAGTTCCCTCCCTCAGGGCTTGTCAAGGCCCGACTCGAAGAAGACAAAGGACGAGGTTAGAACAGAAGGGGAAGTTCCCTAGACACATGGCTAAGTCTGATAGGGCGGGCTATCCAGAGCCTACGCCGAAGCATGGTTTCTAGCCGTCACATCTCCATACTTTACAATTAATGCCCATGTACTATAGTCGGGTTCCCCTCCTATATAAAGTGAACCCACACTACCTTGTAAAGGGCTGATGTTGCTCCAACTATTTCTCTATAAGTGCAATAATATCTCTCTCTCTCTCTCCCTCTTCTTCCTAACTTGCTCGTTCTCTCTGGCTCGAGGCCACTTTAGCATTTGTAGCTTTCTTACTTGTTCTTTATCTAATGCTTGGTCTTGGCTATAAGGATCCTTGATTAATTGTATCTTAACTATTATCCCATTCCCGAATACCCCCGATAGCTCGAGATCGATCCCAGGTATCGACCCCAAGGTCCTCCATTGACCAGTCCTATACCCAAGCAGCAGGCCTATCAGTTTGATTACCGCCTCATTTTAGCTTGTGTTTTATCATTAAACTTCATATTCCTAGCATCATCTACTCATACAACTAGCATAAAAATTGATCACGTATTTTTAGAATCCCATATACAAATTTAATTGTTGTTACCATTTTCACGGTAAACAGTTTGGTGCCCACCGTGGGGCTAAAAATAATAGTGATTATTTTCTTGGTAGTTTCATTGCACAAATGCAAGTTACCTTTCACACTTTTTCTTGTCCAAGATCTCTTGATTTCAGGTCAAAATGTCTGGCTTGGTAAAAAGAATCGAGAACGACAACCTCAAAAACGACGGGGAAAACGACATGGCTGTCCCGGCCGCTGGAGCGCTGCTACAGAATCCCGATAACGTGATCGGACCGATTCTAGCAGAGGCGGATTCATAGGATGCACGACAAGTCGACGAAACTTCCCACACCGATAGAAGCATACAACATAATGACCGACAAGAAGTCCAAAAAACCCCAGCCCGGGAAGAACAGGAAGTTAGTCTTCATGTTATTTTTGAAATGTTGTAGGCACAACTGTTGGCCATTGCTCAGTTGCAAAGCCATTCGAAGACTCCCAGCACAGCAGCACCGGAAACAGCTCCCCCCACCGAGCAAGTGCTCGAAAGATAAAGCAATAACGGGTCCATAGCCGACCCTTCCATAGTAAAGGTGCTCGAGGACCTCACCAAAAAGATTAAATCGGGTGAGAAAATGATTGTGGCCAACGATAAAAAGGTCGAGACCTACAACTCTAGGGTCGATCATATCCTAGGTGCGCCCCCGATCCTCAAGGGCTTGGATTCAAAGAAGTTCATACAGAGGCCGTTCCCCGAGGAAGTGGCCCCGAAGCCCATTCCAAAGAAGTTTAGAATGTCGGAAATCCCTAAGTACAACGGTACCACCAACCTTAACGAACACATTACTGCCTACACATGC